CTGGACATAATCATTCACGAGGGAGGTACAATAATAGAGTTTAAAATTTGAACGTGATTCATTCACGGTTGGATGAACGACTTAAATGCGAAGGGGTCTTCTAGGCAAAGGGTGATGTCCAGCGGAGATGGACAGCACTTATTGTGCAAATCAGGCAGCACGTCACCCCATCTGTTTTGTATTCAATGCTTTTTTTATTGTGTCCCCAAGTTTTGCCTTTAATCGTAATCGCCACGAGAATACTTTTAAATTTAAAGATTATGCGTGGCCATTAACCAAATTAAGTGAAAAGTTCTCTACCATTATCATCATCCTTCATAGATGGTAGAGGGGTAGTTAAATCGCAAGATTGTTTGGACTGTTTTGGTTGGAAAAGATATTTAATTGAAATTCTAGAAAATTTACTTACTCTAAATAGTAGTAAATCTCGAGTGATATTCTAGCACCTTAAATGATAAATAAAACTGGCCCAATTTACAGCAAAAAAATTTTATTATGTTTACAAAATACTTTCCTCTATTTATAGTTAATTTGCAATTAATAGGTACCTACTGACCAAATTTCAATCCTACATTTTAATCGGATGTTTTCAAATATTTATCAAAATTAATTATAGGTAACTTTTTTACTTATAATAATAACTATTTTTAGTATTTCTTTTTTAAGTACAGAGTATGAGTGATGTTCTACATAGTGTGCAACAAAATAAATACTTTTAAAAACCTTAATTTTGATTCCTTATTCCAGAGTGGTAATTTAAACCGAAAATAGATCAAAAAATATACCTATTTCTGCTCTACTTGCAATGGTACCTACCTACCCGACAAGCATAGGTCAAATAAGGATTATGTACATTTGCACCTCTTTCCAAATAACATCAAGAAAGACCATTTTCTATCATTATGTATAACGATAGAGACTCGCTAATTACTACATCTATTAATAGAGTGATCATCCGTCCGGAAAATCCCGGACATGTCCGGAAGTTCGTGCTCAAATTTTGAGTCCGACGGGAATCATAAAATTCGTTAAGATATCCGGAATTTAAATCAAAATAAAGAATAATGCGTGCCCACATTCGTCCCAACCGTCTAAGGTATTAGAAAAGGGAGAGGTCCCGTTAGTGCAGAGGGATCCAATTTCTTAGTATTTTGTAATGTACGACGATCTGGAATCAGTCCATGGGCCATTTGGTCATCCCACATAGATATTAAGAGACGTCAGGGTGAGTTTTTAACTAATACCTAATAAACTCGTAGTTCCGATTCAACGCAAAATAGCTGTATTCCAAAAAAGGTGCACCAATTTACATGTTCGAGTTAGGGTGAGAGTAAATATTTTCTTTAAAACATCTTGTGATATTTAAATTTAATCAAAAAACACCAGCTGTCCTCCTCCACAGCAAACAGAATCAAGCACAGCATCTACCCATCTACCAATTATTTTTTTTTTGCACTGTCCCCTTCTGAAACCTTCCGGTGTCTTTAACTTTTTTTTGTTATAAACTACCAATGCATTTAAGGGTTGGTTGAATAGATGGATTCTTTAACAAAGACTCGTGTAACATCCAACCCCAGGAACGTAATGTTGCGTAAGTTGTCTGTCAAGATAGCGCAAATGATGCCACCACGCGCCAGAGAGACCAGTAAAAAAGTGGTCTTACGAGTATGTAGTTGTAGAGTAGCATGAGGTGGTAGTGAACGGTGGCGGCAGCAACCTAATCGTAAACGGATAAGAGAATTAGTAAAGCGCGTGCCCCTGCGATTACCACGACTAATAATAAAACCTGGCCCCCCGGTCGGTTCCCTTCTTCTTCCTTTTCATCTCGCACGTACTACTACTTTACGAACTCGTTCATTCCGCTTTTTTTTTTGTTCTTGTGTATCATCACGGTCGTGTGGCGAACCCGTTCATCCGACGCGATGTCTGTTTCAATGAACTGCAGTCCAAACAGCGCCAGAGGCACTAATGAAAGCGAGTAGTATTAAGGGTGAAAACTATATTTAAATGTAGTCTTGGAAATTTCAGGTGATAATGAAGTTGTAAAATTATCCACAAGAATTAAGTACTTTGAGAGAATTATTTTGTTTCTGTAGCCCTTCTTCATTTAGTGTCCAATGTTTCTAAGTAATGGAAGGATAACACAACTGAAGCTTCCTTAAACCACTGCGGTATAATTTTGAAAGAAATAGAAACAAGACCGCTGAGATAGGGATGCAAGAAAGGGGGTAAATCATCGGGGGCGGACTTTTTGAGGGGTCCAACATTAACAAAAAATTTAATTTTTGTTATCAAAGTATTGTATATCTAAGGATGAAAACATTTCGCGTATGAAGTGATTTGGCGGGCCCACTAATACGTTGCAGACCCGGACTCAAATTTCTATAGGTTCCTATACTTATGCGGCATTGTCAATTGTTTTATCAGTTGCGAAAATTTATTAACAACCGGAAACCCTCATGCGATTGAATGTAAATTTAAATATATAAACAGGTATATGTAAAATAATGATTTAAAAGTAAGCAAGAATCCATTAAGTTTTAACCTTCTTTGTTAAAAGTGATTTTTTTTGTTCACCACAACACGGACACTCGAAAACATGATGAAAGATACGCGAACCGTATATCCTTCTAGATTCAAATATCAGGGTTCAATAGTTCATCTCTTTCCGCTAATGGCTAGTTTGTGTTGCTCAATAAAGTCCTTATCGTGTGCATCGTTTGCCTTGTCTAGATTTGAACGGTCTTGAATCTCTTCACCAAAAGGTCATTTTTTGTAATAATTATTAATTCGTTACGCAATTAAATCTCAGCCGCTGAGTCATCGCGTCTCTCTCTCGCCTCTCGCTATACGAGCAAGTACCCACAACCTGCATCATAAATTGCTAATGCGAAAGAGAACTTAGAAATCAATGCCTTTTCGTGATGAAGAACAATGACGGCGATACCGTCAAAAAGCGCATAAATCATCATCCAAGTGAAAGTAAATTCTAATTAATTGCTATTGTTGGGTAAACCTTGTTTGCGACCACGTTTAGTCAGTGAATGAAAAGGTAAACTCCTCCTTCACAGAGAAGAGAAATTTTTATTCAACTACGACAAACGGTTTTCATTATTATTATTATTATTCAAAAGGTACAGGAGGGTTCAGACAAAATTGCAAATGAACTATTTACTGCAAGGACTTATATTCGACAACTTGTATCTTTTTTCCAATTGTTAATTATTATTGCCTATATTATAAATGATCGATAATGAAGAATTTCTTTACAGTTTAACTCATGATAAAAGTTAGATAAATAATGCAGTTATTGTATTAGCGACAAAATACTAATTGTTATCATCATTTGACCATTTGTCGTCAATAAAAGCTCAATTTCAAGAAAATTTGTAGACCAAAAGGAAAAAGTACTAAAATCCTCTCAATTTTGTTGTTTTTTTAGAAAAAGTTTAGCTATAAAAAAAGAGAGAAGAATGACAATGTAATATGAATTATGTTTTTGTGTACAGGTTGTTTACCTTTGCCTACTTTTCGCGTATAAAATTGCAAGCCTAAAGAAGGGCAAATGAGGTAAGAATCAGTGTAACGGTATAAACATCACACCGCATCACCGGAGCGAATACTGAAGGTAAACTGCTTGTCTAGGATGCATCCTCGTCGTGATTTATAATGTTGTGGCGGTCGCATATCCACATACGTACAAACATCTATCTATTATATCTATGTAGTAAGATACGTACATACAGTAATAGTATTGGTGACAATAAAAGCATTTACAAATGTACCCAACGTATGGTGTACCTAACGAATGGCTTGCTTAATGAGCTGCGAAACAATAGTAAGGTGCATTACCGACGCCTGTTGGAAACAGGAACGACGGGACCATGGATCAGAGCATGATATACGAAGGTACTTCAAAATGTTTTAGACACACTGCCACCGTCAGAAAAGCAGTCAAAAAACATCATTTTAATCTCATTATTCGAAAACAAATAAAGCGAAAAATTCGAAATATGTAGGTACCTACTTCTAAAAGCCACTCGTCGTCGACCCTGAAAGCGTGGCTCATATTGACCACAGGCCGTCGTTTGTCAAGCCATTATCTGGTCTTTGAACGATTTAAATATTACAAATAAAATTTTCAAAATATTATCAAGTACAGACAAGCAAATGCCAGGGTTTATAGTTTGAAATTACTTACAGCATGGACTTGCCATGAATTCTTAGAAATTTGCAGAAAGACCATAGCAAAAAATGCTGATATAAATTACAAATAAATGAAAAATGCGATATTAAAGGCAATCTGATCCTTGGAGCGCCTACGTAGTAAATATATTGAATTTAAGATTTTCAGAGGAAAATATATGGCTGCCGTGTTGGGTTTGAGCCTACACCATTTGAACATACAATATACTGTCCTAAACGCCTGGCCGCTTCCCGTTATTTGTAAATAACACAGGGTGGCACACATTATAAATAACTTTGAAACATCAGAAGCATGGTTTCAAAAGGAAAAATCACTAATTCATTTCGAGTTTTTTAAAAATACCACCCATTTTTACTGATCTGTTTTATCGAAATATACAAGTACATATATTCTTGACTGACAAACAGACAAACAAAGAAGGTACGGAACCCTAAATAGTAGAGGGTATGAATAAGTACAAACACGAAAAATGCATAAAAATTATTGTGATGTTACATCTACTTTAAAATCGTTTTGCACATAAATTAAATAGGTAATTAAAACACACCAAAACATTAAGGTATGTATTACTAATACTGCCACATTAAAATTTTCCACCGCTAGGTAAATCTGTATTACTAATTTCATTTCCTTTTCGTTTTCATTTTATTAAGTTTTCACATTTTCCGAGAATTGACTGAAATGTAAACAATGGAAATGATAAAGCAAGTATATGTATCAACTTTTCGCTGTTCGTTTCTCATGATAATCGTACACACGCACATTAAAAGAAAAATATCGGTAAAATACTTACCACTATTCGTTGTATTGGATTCGGCGTCTGCAACTTCCGTCCTCGACTTTTTATGGTTGTTCTCATCTGGTGAGGACGTTGTGTCCATTCGCTCTTGTTTGATAACAGGCTTGATGTCTTCAGCATCATCCGGGCTGGACGACATCAGCGGTGAACTTGACACTCTCCTCTTTGGAGTGGAGGAAGCGGCGCCGTCCACGCAGAGGTCGCCTGGTGCTGGTAGCCGAGGAGAAGCAGGGGGTGGCGTATGAACCCTAGAACAATAAAAACGCAATGCAGACAATTTTAAACAACAAATTAACATATCATTTCTATCTGGTCAAAGAGCCTGTGAGTATATGAAAAGATAGTGTACCAATAAAAGGTTGCATCAGGTACAAGAACTGATGACCGAAAGTATTAAAGGAGAATCGAATTCTCATCATCTTAAGGTCGTCAGTCCTACACACTTCTGCTCCTTCCTATCCCGAACTAATCTTTGCATTAATCTAAGCTAGGTCTACCTCTACCCATCCTAACTCCCGTTTCTGCCTCTAATATGTCACTGACTAGACCTTCATGCCTGAAAAGGTGTCTTACTAACATCATCATCATCATCCTCAAAAGGTCGTTAGTCCTAAAACAAGTTCGACAAGCACCTCCACTTCCTCCTATCCTGAGCTAATCTTCGCATTTCCTTAAAACTAGAACAACCCACATCCTTAACTATTTGCGAACAGTAACTAATCTAGGTCTACCTCTACCCCTCCTAACTTCCGCTTCTGCTTCTAATATGCCTCTGACTAGACCTCATGCCTGAGAAGGTGCCCTACTAGCCTATCTCGCCTATTTCTTACTGACTTCCATTGAGTCCTCTTTCTCCTATTCTTTCTAATACCTCTTCATTTCTAGCCGTCTCTCTCTATCCACGGTATCCTCATCATCCGCCTATAACACCACATTTCGAACGCTTCTAACCTTTTCTTTTCCGCCGCGCCCACTGTCCATGTTTCGCACCTGTACAGCGCCGAACTCCAAACATACACCTTTAATAACCTTTTTCGGATTTCTAAATTAACCGTTCGCGAACATAGAAGTGACTACATTCTTTTTATTGAAATTCTAACTTGGATAAAAGTGTTATGAAATTCATCTAAAACTTAAATTTTGCTTAGAAAAACACATTCTTCAGTTGATTAAATATCGTTGATTTCTATTATTTTCACACAATCAAGTACTCTTTTTCCTGCACGTACATTTCAGTAAGAAGTAAAAAAGGTTTACAAAGGACTCCTTATAAGTAGGTGTTAATTACAATTATGCATACCTGCTGCTGTTTCCGATCACTTTCTTTCCAGATATGGGGGCCGAGATACTCGGTCTTCTGGTATTGATGGTGGAAAGAGGCAAAGGGCCATCGTCGTTGTCCCTTTCGCGATCTCCGCTTACGGCGAAGCAATGTCCTCCTGCAAAATTTTCCTTGTTGCAGGAGGTGACTTTGTGTTGGATGAAGCGAACGATATCCGAAAGGGCGAAGGGCTTTTGGCATGCTCCACATGTCAAAATGTCCTGGTGATCTCCTAGATCTGCCCCATCTGCATCTGCTGTAACAAAAGATTTTTTTAAAAAATATTGAATACAACTTATTAAACTTATTACTTAATTGTGAAATTAATTTAATGAAATTAAAAAATTTCCACTACCCTTTTTTTAAAATTTCTTTGCTGTACCTAGCAAAGTGAGAGTTTATCTGTAAATATATATAGGTAGTTCCATTCATAGTTTTATTTCCGCAATTTTTTGAAAATGAAAAACACATTTCTACGCATTCGAAGTGGTCATAAAGCGTGTTTTTTTATTCCTGTAATTTTTAATCTTATAATACTCCTGCGAAGATTAGCTCAGGATAAGAGCTGCGTGTCCAACCAATCTTAGGACTGACGACCTTATGATGTTAATGTACGAAGTACCTTTTTTTATTGTAAACTTATAAACATGTAAAATTGTACTTGTAAACTTGTAAACTTGTAAACTTGTAAACTTATAAACTTGTAAACTTGTAAACTTGTAAAAATTGTAAACTTGTAAACTTGTAAAAATTGTAAAAATTGTAAACTTGTAAACTTGTAAAAATTGTAAACTTGTAAATTTGTAAAAATTGTAAACTTGTAAACTTGTAAAAATTGTAAATTTGTAAACTTGTAAAAATTGTAAACTTGTAAACTTGTAAAACTTGTAAAAATTGTAAACTTGTAAACTTGTAAAAATTGTAAACTTGTAAATTTGTAAAAATTGTAAACTTGTAAACTTGTAAAAATTGTAAATTTGTAAACTTGTAAAAATTGTAAACTTGTAAACTTGTAAAACTTGTAAAAATTGTAAACTTGTAAACTTGTAAAAATTGTAAACTTGTAAATTTGTAAAAATTGTAAACTTGTAAACTTGTAAAAATTGTAAATTTGTAAACTTGTAAAAATTGTAAACTTGTAAACTTGTCAGGGTACAGAAAAGAACACAGAGTACCTTTACCAGAAAAACAAATACTGATCTTGAAGGATAGAAAAATTAGTTTAACAACTCTTTTCAAGCGGTTAGATATGTGACCTTGAGGAAACCTGTGAATAAAATGAATACACGCTAAGCTTGAGCATGACAGAAAAAGTTTGAATTTTGTCTAGGTGCATTCAAGTAAAGGAAAGGGGCATCTCTAGCTGTTTCTGAATTGCATGTAGTCGTCCGGCAAATCAACTGTATCTTCCGATATGAGCAAAAAAGTTTGGTGAATCTAAATGAGTATGCTTTTATTGGAGTTAAATTGAAATACACAATACTAATAACCCTATTATTATTTTCAATTTTTAAATATTTTATATGAAAATCAACCCAAGCGAAGTCATTAATAAAATCTAGTAATAGTAAACACGTATGTTGTTACTTGTGGAGCTACACACTTCCTATACTACCCACGTATTATAATTATTTGTATGTGTATGACAGTTATAATGATCATACTTTGACTTTTGGTATAAAAAGTTTTTACATGGTCTGTGGTCATAAGCGTCTTAGTTCTTCTCGCCAAGAGTGCTTGGTATCGATTTCTTAAAACAGCTGCAATTCGGAGCCCACCCCCCGACGTGCCGGGGTGTAGTAATGACACTCGACAAGCGTACTACTCACCCCTTCGCAGATCCATTGTTAGCACCCTGCCGGGATTAGCAATCACTAGCTCAGCTGATATTTTTAATTGTCCCACATATCACCAGCGCTCTTGTTGGCTGTTTGGTCTCTCGCCACTGGTGTTTTTTGTACTTTTCTCATTATTATCCGACGGTGCCAGTTGTGGTGGACAATAAAACTCGCTTTTTACTTTGCACATAAAAGAAAACAGTAAATCCACTCTAATTTCTTTCAAAATTACGCATAACAGAAGATAATAACACAAAATTCTTTCTAGAAATATTTTATAAGTACATATTTTCTGTAAAAAAAAATAGTATATTTTAGACTACCATAAATAAAGGCAGGTAAAAGCCTTTGTAATTTTTTTTGCTTTAGAGGATTTGTTAAATACTTTTGGCTACTTATATATATACACCTTTTTGTTAAATACTTTATATAACGTGCTAGGTAGATAATGTTCGCAAAGGGTCCCTTGAATAGCCAACCGTTTTCGAGCGTTGTCCACCCCAATGACCACTCCCTACTGACCAATGCTGCTGCGCGAGAAGGGTAGCAGCTTTTGTTAGCTTTCTATGTATTTTTTCCATTGGTCACTCACTTAGATACAAGCCAGGACGTGATCATATCACATGCCGTGGTTGGCGTATCCTTTTTCGATAAGTCCTAACTTTTATGTATGTCGTTAGAAGCTCACAGTATCCTTGTAAGTGGATGCAAACGTAATTTCGATTCAATGTTTTCGCATTGCGAAGGGGAAAACAACCCCCGATCGGAGATAAATAAAGAAATTGGCTCGGTTCAAGCTATTACAGACCTTTCTATATTACAATCAGACGAAGTCGATGCCTCTGCCAATTTGGAGATCGCGTATAGACCAATTTACGCTCTGCTTTCTGATACTATTAATTTATGTTCTGTATCGTTGTTTCCATCATTCTAAATGTCAATAGTCTACGATAATAATACAGAAATAAAAAGCAATTGTAACAACATGAATTACTACAGTTTTCATTACATTATTTTTCCGAAAATAATTACACAGCAGCTCTAAGATTTCGGAAAGTAAATTAAAAGCCTTTTCATCATTTTGGGATAACAATTTTAAAAGTTCTAGTCTTACTTCGATTGAAAGACTAAAACTATTACCAACAATAGAAAGTTTGTTTCTAGATGTCCAAAAGCGTGGAGCAATTTTCTAACAGCAGAATTTTTGATGAGAGCGACTTCTTTATTCTCAATCGTTGAGCAACGTATTCGGTAAATTAAACATTGCGAACCCTTCTGAACCCGCCATTGCTCGAAACAAGTATGTAATAACTGAATGTGGATCAACAGAAGTTGTGTCCAGGTGCTTGGTCTCTCCAGAGGTCACAGCGGGCCTTCAATGGACCAAAACAACGGAGGACCAGACGTGCATTGTCCGAGACCAGAAGGGTGGTTAGAGGCGGTTTGTTCGTTTTTCCAATTGCTACGAGTGCGACTTATGACAAGAGGAAGTATTACAGCATGCAGCAAAAGTTTTCGAATAGAACGAAACAAAACAAAAAAGAAATGGTGCTACCTACAACGTGTCAAAAACCCGAAAGCGTATGATTTAAAAAAAGTTAAAATCCATAATTTAATAATCGTTAAAATAAAAGTAGAAGAATAACCAACTAGAAAATTTATTAAGACTACGCTGCGATAAACTGTTTCTGTTATTATTATAAAGAATCATTGATAGTCCCTTGGCCGTAACAATTGTACAAGTCTCTTAATTAATTTTTCATTTTCATTGAACAGTTCTCGCGTAGGTACTAGATACAAGAAAAGGTTAAAAGAGGTTTTTCTTATATTTTGATTCTGTCAGATCTTTCTCCATTAAAAATTCCTAATCTAGACATATTGACTGAGTTCAATATAAATCAAGCTTTCCTTATTTTCTAGAATTATTGTCATCCTGATGATACTGGGTAATCACATCAGTCCTAAAACTGGTTGTACACGCATCACTTTTACTTCAGCCAATCTTCACATTTTCTTCAAATGGTCGATAATCTGCTTCCAGTGTATATCTCTTGTCAGCTTTTCATGTCTTGGAGGGTGTCGTATATAACCTTCCTATCTCTTCTTCTTTTTTATTTATTTATTCGATTATATGGTTTTTGTTCTCCTAATACTCTTTCTAATATCGATATCCAAATCATCCCTTAATTCGTTGAAGATGTTTAAATCAGAGCACGAAAAGGGATAAAAAAAAATTATTTATTGTTATACCTAAGTCCGACGTTTTGCCTAGGTTGTTAGGCTTTCTATAGGATATCTTTAGGCGTTGATATATCCTGCTCTGATTTAAACAACAAATTAAGGGAAGATTTCTTATGTACAATATTAACCTTCCTAAACCTATCCCTGAGAAAACCTAAAAACCTAGGTGAAACGTCGGACTTCTTATCCATTATCGTGCTCTGATGATTTAAACATCTTTCTAATACCTCCCCATTATTTCTAATCCACGATACTTTAGGTAATTAAACAGTAAAAAATTTCATCAAATGAGTACCTATATTAGTTTTTAATTGTATTGAAAACTCTGAGCAACACGAAAATTAATTCCTAATACTTGAAATGATGTATCGACTAATGGCCAATTGTGGTTTACCTACCGATTACATTTACGTAGAGAATGAAGAATATGGGGCACTATAGGGTGCAAACGGCAACTGTTCAATTTCGACCCATATGTGATAAACAGCCTTGTTTATCTGCCTAACTTTTATTACGCCCGCCAACTTGATTAGAAGTCATGTGTACTATACATACGATAACAACGACGTTCATCAGTTAAACCCCGTTCCACTGAAATTTCGGAATAATCACGGAAAATTGATATTTTGCGCACGTCCTTTTATATTACTGAATTCATTAAAAAGTAATTAATAACGTGACTGACGGAGACTGAAATTACAAACCTGCAAGAAAATAACCTAATTATAATATATTGCTTGGTCTAAAACAAGCATCACTCAGCAATACCTACCACCTACTATTAAGAATTTACTAAAACGCCAATAATTTCATGGACATTTTATAGAATGACATACAAAAATCTACAAATCTATATTCAAAAACCGTATATTTATTAGACAAACGAATTAATTATAACGATTAAGTTAATTTAGACTAATTAACTGAGCTAAAGTAAAAAGTATTATACATCTACCATTTACTGTTTGCATTATTCAAATATATTTAGCATTTTCATTACCCGCTTTTAATAGAATTGAATATGAGATATACAATTTATTCGAAAATTAAATTTCACCATGATCATGAGTAGTAGGGATAGGATAGCGCAGGGTCGAATCACCTTCAATAACAAGAAGTACCTTCTATGCTCGCGAACGATTAATTTAAAAATTCGAAAAGGCTTTTTAAAGATGTA